TTGTCCTTTTCTTGAATGAAGCACACAAGGAACCACAGGGCTGCGGTTGAGGGCTCTGTGAAGATCAGAAATCACGATCTCAGATGTCATTAATTTGCGGTTGTGCAATTTCCACAGTTGTGCTCATTAGCCTGGGTTTGGGGAGAAGGCACTTAAAAAGATCTGGGGTTGGGCATTTTTGCACAGGTTAGTGCAGAAGAATAACACTGCGTGGGAGTGAGGATGTTGGCGAGGGAGCCCTTGAGATGGACCATGGAGTTGAGGCTGATGAAGAAGAGTGAGGAAGTCTGATTGACACATGGAATGTATTTGGGTGGAGGGAGTTTAGGTCTTGATGAATCCAGAAAGGGTGTTCCACAAGAAAAAGCAAGGGAGGATTCATTTAAGGTAGAGAAAAGAGAGAAAATTCGGGCTGGGGTTGTGGCTCAGTGGTAGAGTGCCCGCCTAGCATGCAAGAGGCACTGGGTTTGATCTCCAGCACCACATAAACAAAATAAAGATATTGTGTCCACCTACAACTTATATATATGAGAGAAAATTAGACAAAGAGGTTTGCGTTGTGCAGGGTTTGGTTATGGTTACCTTCCATTTTTTTTTTTTGGTACTAGGGATGTTTACCCACTGAACCACATTCCCAGCCCTTTTTTATTTTTTATTTTAAAACAGGCCCTCACCAAGTTGCTGAGGCTGGCTTTGAACTTGCCATCCTACTGCCTCAACCTCCCAGACTGCTGGGATTACAGGTGTGCCCGACCGCACTGCCCGGCCCAGTGGGTGACATCGTGTCCAAAGTGTAGGTGGGTCTTCAGTGTGGTAACTTGAGTGGAAGTGAGCGGCACACAGGCTGCTTGTCCACAGGATGTCCCCTCCCCTCGCTGGACTCAAGGCACCTTGTCTTCCTCCTTCTTGCCTTCCCTTTCTCCTGTTCCTGTTGTCAGAGTCTTCGCAGGGCCACTGTCCCCTAAAACAAACCAAGCAACAAAGGAGTTGTCCTTGCAAAGGGAGATGAAGGGACAAGATCAGAGACAGCCCTTCGCCTGGGTCACGTGACTGAAGGGGCACTCAGTGATCAAGGCAGCCCATGGGGGAGGGCCGAGGGGCTCTTTAGGGAGCCACCTGCTGGGCAGAGAGGCCTCGAACTCCTTGTACCTGTGACTTTCTCTCCTTGTCCTACGCATGGGGTCTCTCCCCAGGCACAGCATGATCTGCAACCACTCACTCCAGACACTTCTGCCATGGTCCAGAGAACAAAGCCTTGGAGAGACTCCCCTTGTCCTCAGAGCCAGGGGAGCGCAGCCCACCTTATGCCTGATGCTGATAATATGCCTAGATGGTGGCGAGGTGGGACAAACAGTATGCTCCTGCAGCACCCAGAAGAGAAAACTGTGCATCCTCGTCAGAAACAAGAGAAGTTAATCTATAAACCAGGTAACAGCATAAATAGGAATACAAGTAAGGCTTCTTTTTGTTTTGGAGCAATAAACAATAAACTTTGGCTCTGCTGTAGCAAATACAGAGAAAACCTTCCACTCTGGTGCAATACCAAATACATGACAGTTTAATTTGTAACCCAAATCAGTTGGAGTCCTAGTTGTCTAGCTGCACAATTTCTTGTTCATGTAGATTTTTGAATCACTCTGATACAGATGCCTCTTCTTGTTGGCTGCTTAGATATGCTCACAGAAATCTTTATGTTTTCTTTCTTTTTTTCCCCCTCTTTTTGGTACTGGGGATTGAACTCAGGGATGCTCTACCACTTGACCACTGAGCCACACCCCCAGCCCTATTTTGTATTTTATTTAGAGACAGGGTCTCACTGGGTTGCTTACTGCTTCACTTTTGCTGAGGTTGGCTTTGAACTCGTGATCCTCCTGCCTTAGCCTCCCGAGCTCCTGGGATTACAGGTGTGCCCTACCGCACTGCCTGGCTTGTGTTTTCTTTCTTGATGACTGGCATTTGTGCACCAACAAAAGAGCTTTTCCCCACGGCCCCCTGTAATAGATACTCTGTTTCAGTGGCTCAGAACCTTCCAGTATCCTCCCTCTACTTGCAGAATTCCGTGCCTGGAGCAGAGAAGACCAATTTTCTCTCTTGCAATTTTCATTAATGAAACACTGGAAGTACCAGGCATATACAGATAGCCCCATGTGTACACGTGGCTGGAGAAAACACTAGTTTTGATATGCTACTGCATTTTGCATAGAAGCTACAGTATCATAGTATTATTTGCCTATCAAAAACAAACAAAAATGGGATTTATTTTTATTTTAGAAGATGTCTGAAAACATACACAGCAGACAGATAAACCCACAATACTGCTTATTTCAAATACTTTAGTTTTTTGGGGGTACTGGGAATTGAACCCAGGGATGCTCTACCACTTCTGGTATTCTTTATTTTGAGACAGGGTCTCACTGAGTTGCCCCGGCTGGCCTCCAATCTATGATCCTCCTGCCTCAGCTACCTGAGTTGCTGGGATTATAGGTGTGTGTCACCATGCCAGGCTCAAATATTTTAATCTTTTAATGGTTCTGGATGAAAAAGATGGGAAATAGTCAATGGTACACTTAGAGCTAATTCCCCTATGTCTTTGGTATTTAGGCACATACAATTTTATGAACCAATATTAATTCTCACCCTAGCTGTTGTTATTCATTTATGTTGTGTTTTGAAATTGTTGACCAAAGACAAAAATAAGGGCTTACGTGTGCAGTCCAGAAAATAGAACACATGTTCTTAGTACATTTTGGGTCTTGAGAACACAGTGAAATGAGAAGGAACAGCAATGCATGGAAAATTGCAACTCCAGTTGGATCCTTAAACCTAGTTTGCAAGACAACTTATGGATTAAAAGTATAAAAATCATTGTCCTTCAAAAGAATTTCTCTTAAAGGGAATATCAGATTTCTGAATTTATATCAAAGAGGTGTTTACATGTTCCATTACTGTAATATTGTTTGCTTATTTTGTGCTAGGTGATTTGTCCCTTATTTATTTGTAGATATTCTTTATATATTTTGGTTATTAATCCTTTTATGGTAGATAATGCATATACAAATTTTATTTTACTCTGATATTGTCTATTTTTTTTGTTACTAAAAATTGAATCCAGGGCCTGGTGGGTACTAGGCAAGCACTTCACCATTGGGTTACATTCCTTTTAAAAAAATAATTATTTTGAAACAGGATCTTGTGAAGTTGTTCAGGATGGCCTTGAACTTGTGATCTTCCTGCCTCAGCCTCCCAAGTAGCTGAGATGACAGGTGTGCACCACTGCACCTGGCCTCTCTGATTATCTTTTAGTCTTATACTAGCTTATACCTTTTCTTTCCTGTATTTTATTATGAAGATGTTATGAATTTTATTTAGTCAAATCTGTCCCTTTTATCATTTTAAATAATTCTCTTCCTCCTTACTATTAATGTTATTTCCTTTGAGGTTTTATATATATGTGTGTGTGTGTGTGTGTGTGTGTGTGTGTGTGTGTTGTGGATGAACCTTTATTCATATGTGGTGCTGAGAACTGAACCTAGTGCCTCACACATGCTAGGCAAGTGCTCTACCACTGAGCCACAACTCCAGCCCCAAGGTCCTTTATTCTTATTGAAGTTCTTCTCTTTAATGTCTATTTTCCTAGAAATTTTGGTTGACATGTAGTTAGTCGGGCATGAGGGTGGATTAACAGGGACAGCAGATGTGGCTTCTTCTGCATTGGTATAAATTTGCTTTTATTAACAGGTTTTTTTGTTTGTTTGTTTTTAGTTGGAGGGATGAGTATTGAGTTTGTGTGTGCATGAATGTGGATGTATTCAGAGAATGTCAATAAGCATACTTTATTTTAAACCGATGAGTGAAAAGCAAGCAGAATCACTTTGTTTTTATTTTATCTGCTATCCCATTATCAAGATGAACTGCTCTGGGGCAGCATATTTAGAAGACTAAAATGTTAACACAGAAGAGAAAAGATTGTGGGTGGTTTCTATTTTCTCCTTTTTGATAATTGTGTGTCTGATTTTTCTAGCATGAAATGGTAACTCCCCTTCCAAAAAAGAACACCGAAAGAATCATGCCAGAACTCACCTGGCCTTTGGACAAAGGAATGAATAATCTCATTTCTTACCTGGACCATCCTGTCTAGCACTTTGGAAAGATAGCATCTTAAGTAGAAGCCAGAGACTATTTCTCAGAAGTGGGACACTCTTAAATTCTTTTTATAAGTAAAGTATTAAAAGCAATTTAGTACTACTATAAATCCCCGTGGGAGGTAGAAAAGGAATAAATGGTAATAAATAATAACTATGGGTAAAAAGCAGCATTTCTCCATCTTTCCCAGCTGACTCCAGAACAACTCTATTGCTTAGCCACAAAGAGTTTTGAAAAGGAGCCTGTGGGCTTGATGTGCCTCATCAAGATGGCACAGAACCTCTCTGACATTTGTATTGACACAGAGGAATACGTTAAAGCAGGCAATCGATTTTACTTCCAAGATGTAATCATGCCATCTTTAGAAAATTAGAAATTTCCATGATCCCTGAGAGACGAGGACAGTATAAAGGAGCCGGGGGGCCCCGCGAAGCGCACGGCCAGTGCATTTTGCAATGAAAACAGCACCTTGTATTTGAGCATTTTGTCTTCAGTCTCCCAAAGACTGCCCCACAGCAGGCAGCTGGAGTGGTGGCTTAGCGCAGTGGCTAAGGTATCAACTGGAGATTCTGAAGTCCTCTGTTGACCAGGGTGGAGCAATCGCAATTCCTGCTGCATGGAATTCAATCTTGAGGGAGGAAGAGTGGGCTTGAGGGGACAGAACATTCTGTGCCTGTGAGCTCCATATTTGGAGACGTAGGTGGGGTGGACTTGGATTTCCTATCTGTCCATGTGGATTAAAATCAGAGCTCAGACTGCTGATAGCACTCAGAGCTCTGGCTCCTCCAAGAGAAGTGCGACACGGACCACTGGACCAGGCAGGGCACTGTGTCTTTCTTCTGGGGATATCTGTAAACATGAAGCGGTTTCTGGTTCTCATTGTTCTGCTATGTGAATTACTCAAAGGTAACTTGTCCAGACATACCAGAAAGTGGTAGGAGACATGACCGTCGCAAGCACGGGGACAGGACCTATCAGACGGTTGATATCTGATCGATATCATCAAAAGTTCCCATTCTCCTGGGTGCCTGACTCGAGTTTGTGCCTTAGGACAGAGCAACCACGGAGGTCAGAGGAGGTCAAGGAACCCATCATCTAGAATTATCTTTACAATGTTGAGCACAGTTTTCACCCAGGAACCTGGCCATCCACTTTGCCTCTCAAATTCTTTTTCAGTTTATGCCATGACCTTAATAGGAACAGCACACAGTTCAAATTATGTCAGCACAAGGCTAAAATATGTCTTTTGCCTTGACTAGCCTACATATTGAGTAAATCATTCCCTTTGAATCTCAATTTTCTCATCTGTCAAGTGAGTGAGTGTGATTGTAGTGACTCTATATCTATTTTATTTCTTTTTTCTTTTCTTTTTTTTCCTTTTTCTTTTTTTGTACCAGGAATTGAACCCAGGGGCTCTTAACCACTGACAATGCTTTTTATTTTTTATTTTGAGACAGGATATTGCCAAGTTGCGGAGGCTGGCTGTGAACTTTCAATCCTCCTGCCCCAGCCTCCCAAGTTGCTGGGATTACAGGCATGCACCACTGCGCCTGGCTAGTGATTCCGTTTCATGTGGGGATTACATGAGTTTACAAATGTGAAACATGGAGTTGACATCAGGAGCCCTGATAGTGACAGGTCCCTTTTCTAGTGCCAGAAAGAAGGCAGGCTGTCTCTTTGTGGCCCTCAAAACCTACCTCTCTAATCCTCAAGATGTTCCTTGATTATGAAGCTTAGGATAGGGAGAATGCATGTCCATTCTCTACATTTATTCCATGGCCTCGTCCACATTTTGTGTAGGGAGGCAAATAAGGATTAGAAGCCAGGGCTGGGGATGTGGCTCAAGCGGTAGCGCGCTCGCCTGGCATACGTGTGGCCCGGTTTTGATCCTCAGCACCACATACAAACAAAGATGTTGTGTCTGCCGAAAACTAAAAAACAAATATTAAAATTCTTAAAAAAAAGGATTAGAAGCAAGAGATTTAGGACCATCAACACATTATTCTGAACAAGTGAAAATTTGGATCTCTAAGGGAGACAGATATTTATGGAATTGAGTTTAATCCCTGGACAGCAAATTTACCTGAGATCAAGAGGAGTGTGGAGAGGAAGAGGGAGCAGGAGTCGGGCTCTAGAGAGGTCCTGCATTCTGGATAGGTGAAGGAGTTCTCACTAGTATGAGACCTGTGAGCTCTTGGCCAAGGGAGATTTCTGCTGTCCACATCAGTGAGTGTGACACACAGCCACACAGGCACCTTAGAAACTGTTGCCTGGGATGTTCTTGTTTTTTCCCCTAATTAATTTTTTTTTAGTTGTTGATGGACCTTTTATTTTATTGATTTATTTACATGCAGTGCCGAGAATCAAACCCAGTGCCCCACCTGATAGGCAAGCACTCTACCACTGAGCCCCAGCCCCAGCCCAGTGATGTTCTTTTAAAAGTTGATTTGGCTCTGAATTGTGCCTTTGATGGCAAGTTAGTGCTCTCTGGGGACAGGGGACTGAGGTGAGCTTGAGGGAATGTGCACTTGGAGCATGGAGCAGGGAGGGAGCCCCGCCAGGTCCTAGCGTGGGATGTAGCTCTCGCTGCGGGGGTCACACACGTGCTGATGTTCTCAGAGCCACCTGGGCAGTGCCAGGAGGCTGGGTTTTGAAGTCCTCAACTTGGGATGCTTTTTTCCAAGCTCTTGAGTTTTCTCTTATCAACCTAAGGTTCACTTTGGGATCACAGGGGGCCATGACTGGGGAGGAACCCTGTGAGCCTTCTGCCTTCCCTCAGAAACTAACCTTGGTGTGATGTTGCTTCCTAGGTGCAGACGCCATGCGGCCCAAAAAGTGCTTTAGTAATGTGACAGGCTTCTGCAGGAAGAGATGCAAATTAGGGGAAACTTCTGACAAGGGATGTCTCCGTGGGAAATTCTGTTGTGTTAACCAAGAGGAAAACAAGAAGTACAAGAAAGCCCCGGAAGTTCCAGATCAACCTTTTACGCAGAATGAGAAGGACAAGGTGGAGGAGTTGGTCATCCTGCCCACGGTCACACTCATCACCATCATCTTGTAGGCTGACCCTCGCTTCCTTGGTCTCCACTCATCCCGAATCAGAAGTGCCATCCGACCCCGCAGGCGGCTGCCAGAGACTGCTCTGTTTCTTGATTCTCCATGAAATAAAGTCCTGTGCTTTGGCTTCGATGTATTTATTGAGGCACATGCTCAGATTTTGAACACCTTGGGCATGAGTAGCTGCTGTGTTCAAGGTGGTACACTCGTGAAATGGGGGATATGAAGATTAGTGAGTGATGGGGAATGAGCATGACACTTTCTATGCAAGACAACAGTTCATAGAATTTCAGGTATTTCTTCTGTTTTCTCAAAAATTCAATTTCATACATAGATTTAAGATCTAAATTCCCCAAATGTGTGTGTGTGTGTGTCTGTGACTGTGTGTGGGGGAGTGGTGTATGAATGAATACAAAGTATTTGGCTAACAACCAAAAATTCATTAGAGGGAAGAACAATATTTGAACATTTCCATAACATTTATTGGGGGAGATCTGATAAGCAGTGAAAACAGCTAGTGATAATTTCCATATATCATTTGAAACTCATTTAATATACATCCTCTGTCTCCTTTTTCAGTAGCAATCTGGGGAACATCTAGTTGACCTAATTTTTAGACAAATACTGTTAAGACTTTGAAAGTGTTGCATATTCTGTTTGTTCACACAGGGTGAAATTGAAAGTTGTGTAAATGAGGGATCATATGTAAGAAGCACCTCACTAACTAGATAAGATTGCAATAGCCAGGTGTGGTGGCACATGCCCATCATCCCAGCGGCTCAAGAAGCTGAGGCAGGAGGATCACGAGTTCAAAGCCAGCCTCAGCAATAGCGAGGTGCTAAGCAACTCAGTGAGACCCTGTCTCTAAAGAAACTACAACATAGGGCTGGGGATGTGGCTCAGTGGTCGAGTGCCCCTGAGCTCAATCCTTGGTACCAAAAAAAAAAAAAAAAAAAGAAAAAAGATTGCAGTAGATCAGAAACTTCTGTGGTGTCATCAATGGCTGTTTCTTTGTTGAAAGCATTGGTCATAAGTAACTTATGCGCTACCGATTCCTCATATGGGATAAAGAACAGGCCCTGTTCTTCCATGAGTAGCTCACCATCTGGTTTCAATGGGAAGACAGAAAGACAAATATATAGATGGAGATGTCAAAGTTTCAAGAATAGACAGACTTTCCTTCCGGTAGCAGTGGGTTTTGAGAATTCTGGAGAAGAACATAAGAAACAAGGACTGAACTTGATGGCAGAATTTTGGAAATTTTCTTGGGCAATTTCAGCACCATGGAAGCTACTGTATGATTATGTTCAACCTAACTTGGAGAAGGTTTTAAAAAGAAGGTTCACATAATGTCCTGTATGGTAACGTTTTCTTTTTCAGTATTCCACCACAGTGTCACAGGAGCATTGCTTTTTTTGGGGGGGGGGTTCCATTTCATCATCATGACGCAGAGGGGGCTGGTCTATTGTCTTTAATCTGCATGAGCCACCAAAACATTAGATACAAGAATCCATTGGCTGAGTTAGTGTCAAACCAACCAGGGAAGTGCCTCTCATCAAACAGATCGATTAAGCCTTGAATGTTTTAATAAATATTTTCTTTTTTAGTTGTAGACGGACACAATACCTTTATTTTGTTTATTTATTTTTATGTGGTGCTGAGGATCAAACCCAGTGCCTCACAAGTGGACAAGCGCTCTACCACTGAGCCACAACCCAGCCCAAGCCTTGAATTTTGACGGTGACAGGATACACCCATCTTTGCTTTGGCTTTTCCCCTGTGTCCCAGGTCCCCTCTGCACTCACAGGAGAAATGGGTGTGGTCAGTACATTTAGGTGCACGTTTATTTGCTTCTCTTATTTTTACATGCACAATGAAGTAGAAAGCCTGTGTTTTCATCACGCACCCTTTAGGTGCCTCAGTATTTTGTATCTTATTTTTCTTGGAGCTCTCTCAGAGCAGTCTCCAAAATCCTACTTATAAGGCATTTTAGATTATTTTGTTTTATTTTTGAGGAGGAGTTATTTTATATCTGTTTCAAACATTATATGCTAGTTTTTACATTTTTCTTTTATTCTCTATTTTTTTAATATTTATTTTTTAGTTGTAGTTGGACATAACACCTTTATTTAATTTATTTTTTTTAATGGGGTGCTGAGGATCGAACCCAGGGCCTCACAGGTGCTAGGCGAGCTCTCTACCACTGAGCCACAATCCCAGCCCTTATTCTTTATTTTTGATCCATGTGTAATAATTGTACATACTATAGGGTGTGTCAACACATATATATTGTAAACTGGTCAAATTAGGGTGATTAGCATTTCATCTCCTTATCATTCCTTTATATCTGTAAACTCTGAGTTCTTCTCTTCGTTCTTTGCAAAATATATGACAGGTGATTGGGAATGTATTCACCCCGCTGTGCAGGAGAACACTAGAATTTATTCCTTCTGTCTAACTGTCTTTTGGTTTACATGACCCAATCTCCCTCCAACTTCTCCCCCACTTCTCAACATCTAGTAATCACTATTATATGTTTAAATCAACATTCTTTTTAGCTTCCACCTATAAGAGATAATATGCAGTACTTGTCTTTGTGTGTCTGGTTTCTTTCTTTCTTTTTTTAAAGTCTCAAGCCTTAGGCTTTTTTTTTTTAAAGAGAGAGAGAGAGAGAGAGAGAGAGAGAGAGAGAGAGAGAGAGAATTCTAATATTTATTTTTTAGTTTTCGGCAGACACAACATCTTTGTTTGTATGTGATGCTGAGGAGCGAACCCGTGCACGCATGCCAGGCGAGCGCGCTACCGCTTGAGCCACATCCCCAGCCTCTGGCTTATTTCTTTTAACATAGTATTTTCCCAGTTCCATCCATTTTGCTGCAAATGAAAGGATTTCATTCTTTAATTTATTTTTGAAATTTTTATTTGTTCCTTTTTAGTTATACATGACCATAGGAAATATTTTGATGTATTTATACAAGCTCAGAATTTATCTTATTTGAATCAGGACCCCGTCTTGTGGATGGCTGTACCTGATGGTGAGAGCTGCTGTGCTGTAGTCATATGTGCACAAGGAAAGTCATGTCAGGCTCTTTCCACTGACTCGCCCATTTCCATCCCCCTCACTTCCCTGCATTCCTTTTTGTTTAATCCAATTAACTTCTAGTCTTCCCCTCTCTCCTTGTGGTAGGTTGGCATCCACATATCAGAAAGAACATTTGACCTTTGGTTATTTGGGGTTGGCTTATTCCAGTTAGTATGAGAGTCTCCAGTTTCATCCATTTACCAGCAAATGCCATAATCCCATTCTTTATGGCTGAATAATATTCCACTGTTGTATATGTACCACATTTTCTTTATCCATTCATCTGTCAAAGGGTATGTAGGTCGGTTCAATAGCTTTGCTATTGTAAATTGAGCTGCTATAAACATTGATGTGGCTGTGTCACTATAGTATGCTAATTTTAATTTGGTTATATACTAAGGAGTGGGATAACTGGGTCAAATGGTGGTTCCATTCCAAGTTTTCTGAGGAATCTCCATACTGCTTTCCATAGTGGCTACAACAATTTGCAGTCCCACCAGCAATGTTTTTTGAGTGTACCTTTTTCTCCACATCCTTGCATTCTTGATAATTGCCATTCTGAATGGAGTGAGACGAAATCTTAGTGTAGTTTTAATTTGCATTTCTCTAATTGCTAATGATGTTGAACATTTTTTTCATGTATTTGTTAACTGATTGTATATCTTCTTCTGTGAAGAGCCTGTTCAGTTCCTTTGCCCATTTATTGATTGGGTTATTTGTATTTTTGGTGTTAAGTTTTTTGAGTTCTCTAAATATCCTTGAGATTAATGCTCTATCTGAGGTGCAGGTGGCAAAGATTTTCTCCCATTCTGTAGACTCTCTCTTCATGCTCTTGATTGTTACCTTTGCTGTGAATAAGCTTTTTAGTTTGATACTGTCCCATTTACTGATTCTTGACTTTACTTCTTGTACTTTAGGAGTCTTGTTGAGAAAGTCAATTCCCAAACTGACATGATGGAGAGTTGGACCTATTTTTCCTTCTAGTAGGTTCAGGGTCTCTGGTCTAACGTTATGGGACAGTATTCCTAATTTCTCTTTCAGCTGATTCATCATTTAAATGTAGGAATGCAATTGATTTATTGATGTTAATTTTGCTACTTTGCTGAATTCATTTATGAGTTCTAGAAGTTCTTTGGGTTTTTTTTTTTTTTTTGGTCTCATAAATATAGAATCATGTTGTCAGACACAGATAATTTGAGCTCTTCTTTTCCTATTTGTAATCCTTGAATTCCTTCCTTCCTTCCTTTTCTTTCCTAATTGCTCTGGCAAGAATTTAAAAGACTATTTTGAATAGAAGTGGTGAAAGAGGGCATCCCTGACTTGTTCCAGTTTTTAGAGGAAATGCTTTCAATTTTTCTCCATTTAGAATTATACTGGCCTTGGGTTTGTCATGTATAGCTTTTTAAATGTTGAGGTGTATTCCTTCTTTCCCTAGTTTTTCTAGTGTCTTGAGTGGATGCTGTATTTTGTCAAATGCTTTTTCCTGCATCTATTGAGATAATCATATGATTCTTTAAGTCTATTTCTGTGGGAAAATAACACTTATTCATTTCTGTATGTTGAACCGACCTTTTATACTTGGAATAAACCTCACTTGAGCATGGTGCACTATCTTTTTACTTGTTTTTGTATGTGATTTGCCAGTATTTTTTTTTAAAAAATAAATTTTGCATCTGTGTTCATCAGAGATATTGGTCTGAAGTTTTCTTTCCTTGATGTGTCTTTTTCTGGTTTTGGTATCAGGGTGATACTAGCTTCATTAGAATGAATTTGGAAGGGTTCCCTCCTTTTCTGTTTCATGGAATAATTTGAGGAGTATTGGTGTTAGTTTTTCTTTGAAGGTCTGGTAGAACTTGGCTGAGAATCCATCAGGTGTTGGGATTTTCTTTGTTGGTAGGCTTTTGGTGGCATCTTCAATTTCA